ATATATATATATATATATATATATATATATATATATATATATATATATATATATATGTGCAATTTTACCATCTGGGTTGACTTAAATTTTGGATTTTCTTCAGTAATAATCATTGATGTTCAAATCTTTATCTAATTTTTGCTGCTGGGTTATTTTAAAAAAGCATTTTTTTCCGTATTGACATCGATATATTTTGAAATTATTTGCAATTTTGGCTGTTGGGTTGTTTTAAAAAATTGTTTTTTTTTCCACTATGGTTATGATATTCAAATCTTTTCTGCAATTTTAGCTGCAGGAAATTTTGATTCTTTTTCCTCTATTATTATTGATTTTTCAAATGTTTCTGCAATTTTAGCTGCTTGTTGTCTTAACAATTAATTTTTTAACTCGTTGTTTTTATGGAGTTTCAATTCTTTCTGCAATTTTAGCAGTTAGATCATCTTCTGAAATTCATTTTTACACTATTGCCTCTGATATTCAAGTCTTTTTTGTTCGAAAACAATTTTAGCATCTATTTTCTTAAGAATTTCAGTAATATAAGAGGAAAGGAAAAGAGAGCAGCAATTTCACCATTGATAACCATTAAAAAGCTTTGAAGCTTTGAATTCTAATTTGGGTTTTCAAAAATTATTATTTGTTTGGATTGGGTGTTGTTGTAAATAATTGGGAATATGGTTTGGAGTTTATATCTCAATTTTGAGGGGTTTTGGTGAAGATTAGACTTGGTTTTGGCTGAATTTCAGATTGAAACTCGAAGAAGAAGAAGAAGAAGACATGATATAGATTATATTGCAAAAATTATAGATAAATTGTAGAAAATTGTAGAAAAATTGTAGATTGTTGTTTATTTATTTTTCAACTTTGTGTTTTTGTGTTAAAAGTTTTGATGGGAGTTTGTTATTCCACTTCGTCTGTTTTGGAGCTAACTTGTGCAGAGAAGAAGATATTTTTTAAGTTATATATATTGATATACCTTTAAATTCAAGAAGTATGATTGTATTGTATTTAAAGAGGCGTGAATTTGTAGAATAGGTTGAATGTGAGGAATGAGTCAAATAAGACCCACAATGGCTTGTTTTCTACATTTAATCTACAACAAAATTACATATCATTTGAAAATTTAGTATGAAAATACAGAATTTCAATGTTTCTACAAATTATCTACAAACTGGGTACATTGAATTCTAATATCCCAATTCCCATTCAATTGTAGCATAATTGGGATTTTCAACATAATTGAGTTTTTTGCAAAAGATTTATAGAAGTTTTAGTCGTTTTTTATTTGTGAACACAAAAAACAAAGCATCTACAATCAGAATATAAATAATCTACAATTTATCTACAAAATATCTACAAACTGGGTACATTGAATTTTAATATCCCAATTCCCATTTAATTGTAGCATAATTGGGATTTTTGACATAATTGCGTTTTTACAAAAGATTTGTAGAAGTTTTAGTCGTTTTTTTATTTGTGAAAACAGAAAATAAAGCATCTACAATCAGAATACAAATAATCTACAATTTATCTACAAAATATCTACAAACTGGGTACATATTTGAACTCGACATGCTTCTCCTGAAATGTATGTTTCACATTTTTGATACATATTTTTGTCCAAAACAGTACTAAATCATCCACTTAAATCCAATTCTGATACAATGTTGTTCAACTTTCATACAATAGGTAAATGAATAAAAGAAAAATAAATAAACAACAGTCTACAATTTATCTACAATTTTGCTACAGTTTCTGCAATATAATGTATGTCATGTCTTCTTCTTCTTCTTCGAGTTTCAATCCGAAATTCAGCCAAAACCAAGTCTAATCTTCACCAAAACCCCTCAAAATTGAGATATAAACTCCAAACCATATTCCCAATTATTTGCAACAACACCCAATCCAAACAAATAATGATTTTTGAAAATCCAAATTAGAATTCAAAGCTTCAAAGCTTTTTAATGGCTGTCAATGGTGGAATTGCTGCTCTCTTTTCCTTTGCTTTGTATTACTGAAATTTGGACATAATTGCTTTTGATGTAGAATAATTGTAGAAGATTTAATCGTTTTTGATTTATGAAATCAGAAAAAAGGTTTGAAAAACTGCTTATCGAAAACGAAAACTTTTCTTGAAACCAATGACTGAACCTTTCTTATCGAAAACAGGTTTACTCTTGTCAAGTACTTTCCATGATCTGCCACCTCCAACAATTGACCTTTTGTAGTTCTTACCACGGGCTGATGTTTTCTTTAACTGAGTAAAGACATAATCAACAGTCTTCTCCTCTAAGTCTGATGTTTTTTTTTTATTTGTGAAATCAGAAAAAAGGTTTGGAACACAGTGTATCGAAAAAGCAGAGACGCTAAATTTGAAACGAAACTGACGAAGAAGATTAATGTGCGTGATTTGCGTTGTGGAAGATCTGGAAGAATATTTAATTCCCCTTTTTTACCGCGCCTAAATAAGGAATCATAAATCTATAGTGATTCCTTATTTAATGCATTGTATATATTATGTAGAAATACTATTAGCATGAATGGTAATATGCAAACTATGAACATATTTGATAATATAGTTTTATATATGGTATATATACGAAAATTTCCCTATAAAAAAAAAAATACAAAGAGAAAACAATTCGTCCAAGTGCATGATAGGAACTAACAAAATTAAACAAAAATGGAAGTTGACGCACACCAAGGAAACTACACCTGAATGGAAAAGGATAAGAGGGGATGATTGGAGGGTTCTTCACATTTTGAAAGATTGGATTGGTAGATGTTTTTTATTTGTGGCCTTACATAGAAAAGTCCAATCGAAAGACAAAGAAAAACTTCCATTTATTTTCAAAGCAATTGGAATAAATTAATATACAAGATATCTGTTTAAATAAGAAAGCCTACTAAGACCACGTAGTAAAATCATAATTTTTTTATTTAACCATCCGATATTCAATGTCTACTTACTCAACAAATATTCATCGATTCATCAACCCAAGATAGTCTCCACTGTTACAATCTGTATTTATGCTATCATTTTGGATTATACGGCTGAACTTTATTCCTAATTATTCGGAAATTCGAGCATTATTAATCATTAATACAAAACAAGCAAAATTGATCAAATTTTAACTTTAATAGCTCGAAAATCAAAATTGTAATGAAATTACAAATTGTAGTCTTCAATATAGTTTCATAACAACTAACCTGTAACTATGCTTTATAGAAAGGACAATGTGGTCGTTGCAAATATAAACCGGTTTACAAGTCCGGAGTCGAATCCCACCGAGAATTAACCTATCAATTACCTTTGTTGGAATCACTAAATTCTTTATAATTAACTTCCTCAAACGTTGTAAACAATAGTTGATGGTATTTCTACTAACTAAGATTGCAAGTAAATAAATAAACAACTGTAAACTAAATATGCTGGGTTGTAAATAATAATGAGAAGGTTCTAAGGTAGTGATTTCCCCTATTGATGGAATCCCTTCCGGTTATGTTTCATATAGATTCACCAAAATATCTCTATCAATCATGAGCACTCTTTTTACCGTAAATCTCTCCCGAGTAATCGCGATAATTTACTAGACGCACTCTCCCGAGTTACGCTAGCTGACTTTGTTTATTACAGCTCACTTTAGATCACACCCAAGGCTTCGTTATCCCTAATCCCGCCTTTAAACCCGTAGTTATAGATCCCTCTTATACTTTGGGAGTGGTGTTATTCAACAATTACCTAAATATGCACTCTCTCCCGAGTTATGCACACTAAATAAGCACAGCTAATTAAGGATCCTGTCAATTAATTACAATAAACACGTAATTGAACAAATAGAGATTAACCGGCAAACTATATGAACATAATCAAGAAGTTCATCTTTCAATAGGTTCCATCAAAACCTTAGACTAAAGTATTTAGCTACTCATAACAACTTGAAGATCGAATACGAAAGTATTCATCATGTAAAATTGCAAGAAAAAGAACAAATAAAGAACTATGATGTTTTGGGTGATCTCTCACACTTGTGTTTCTTGCCCAAATTACTCTCCAAACAAAATTTGACCTAATGAGGCCGAAATCCTACTTTTTATAAGGGTTTTACACCAAGTTTTCCCGACTTGACACTTTTGTCCCTGGCTATTTCGCGTTCTGCCGCGGTCCCACCGCGGTTACGCCCGGACCGCGGCCAAATGGGTTCTCTGAATCTGCAACTCTACTCTGTCGCGGTCCTACCGCGGCTACGGTCTGACCGCGGCAGGCCAATTTCAGCACTTCTTTGACTTTTCACTTGGTGCATTTCTTGGGCATTGTTTGATTGGCCTCCTTTTCTCCGTCATTGATCCCAAACTTGCTCCATCGACTTCTTTCGTTGGATATAGCCTGCAAAGCATGAAAAGCACTAATCAGAGCATTAGGTTATCACTTTTTACAACAAAGCTATACAAAAATGTGGTTCTTTAGGGTCTAATTATAGTCTAATTCACCTATTATCACTAAACAATATATAGTGTTCTCATTGTTTGAATTTAGGTCACTAATTAGAGGCTAAATATATTTTGACCAACATTAAAAATTTGCTTAAATCAAAACATACTAAAATAATCATCATCATCATCATTATTATTATTATTATTATTATTATTATTATTATTATTATTATTATTATTATTATTATTATTATTATTATTACTATTATTATATATATTACATGCATTTTTATTTTATTTTGATAATAATAATGAAATAAATGATGAATCATATCGTGGATCCCAACTTGTTTAGGACTTAGTTTGTTGTTATTATAACTATAATAGTGTATATGAGGATATTAATCGCGTATTTATTAAGTTGGTGTAATAGCCTGTTTGGTCAAGCTTTTAAAATCAACTTATTTTGGAAAGTACTTTTCTCAAAAGTATTTTTAAAAAAAGTACTTTTGGTGAGAAGCAGTTTGTGTTTGGCTAATTGAATTGAAAATCACTTTTGAGTAGTAATTAATGTATGGCCAAGCTTTTGAAAACTGCTTCTAAGTGTATTTTTCTGAAAAGTGCTTCTCAAAAAAGTGAATTTGGAAAAAAGCTACTTTTTTATGCTTCTCAAAAATTACTTCTGCCTCTCCTCAAAAGCACTTTTTTTCATCTAAAAGCTTGGCTAAACACCTTAAATTTTGGCCAAAAGTGCTTTTAGCAAAAAACAAAAAGCACTTTTGGACCCAAAAAAAGCTTAGCCAAACAGGCTATAAGTATCGGGTCCAAAATTTACTTTTTGGGAATGTAATTCTTAGAATACAAAGCGTTATACATTTCGGTTTCTGAAATAAACTTTTCCACTTTAAATAATCTTTTATTTTAACTTTAACCAAATATTGTTCAAACGTCTACTATATAAAGTAAGTTGTTTTTAGGATATTATCTTAACATTTCAAGCAAGCCTCATTATCCATTGTTGTAAAAAGCAAAGGACAAAAAGAATCTTCTAGCGTCCAGTATTTGGGCGCTATACCTGAGCGTGGCAGCTTTTTATATATAGCGTCCAAATACTCGGCGCTATACACTAACGACACAGTTAACGTTAATGTATAGCGCCCTGTATTTGGGCACTATATATAAAATTTCCATTTTTTTTACACCTATTAAGGTGCTACTTGTCCAAAAGAACCACATTTTGGTTCCGGACTCCTACTCTCACATTACTGTACCTAACAGAAGGGAAATAGTATTTTAAATTAGTGAACAGTAAAAGGACAGGTTGGTACACTAAGCTCGTACTATGCCGGGATCCGGAGAAGGGCCGGAACATAAGGGTCTATCGTACGCAGTCTTACCCTGCATTTCTACAAGAGGTTGTTTCCACGGCTCGAACCCGTGACCTCCTGATCACATGACAGTAAATAGTAAATAGGGATTACATAATATTGGTGCAGTATTACTGTAAAAATAGCACGGGTTAGCCAATTTCAGACTGGCCATTCAAAAATAGCCAGCATTTGCAAAGTCATTGAAAAATAGCCACTATTTTGCTGCAACAGGGATCGGTCCAGCATAATATACTGGAGATCGATGCACCTGTGTATGAATTTCCAGTATATTATGCTGGAAATCCAACACGCGAAAATTTCCAGCATAATACACTAGAGATTGGAGCACCTGTGTATGAACTTCCAGCATTTTATGCTTGACCGGTATATTATACTGGAACTCCAATATATTATGCTGGAGTATTTTTCGGATTTTAAACAGTATTTTTGTTCAGATATATCTTTACATAAAAAATGGCTAAATTTCGATTACTTTTGAAATTGTGGCTATTTTTGAATAACCACTTGTAAATCTGGCTATTTTTGAATTTCTCCCAGTGTTACTTCGTCAGAATAACGTGTGCGTGCATGTGTGTAGACACATATATATGCATATTACTAAGGTATTGTTTCACCCACTTCATTGACCGCTAAGCGTTTTACTGTTTGGCAGTTCCGTAACTCCAGAACTTCAAAGCAAGGATTGCCAAAAAAAATATTTCCACTTCTGTAGGATCAGTAGATTATACAACTGCCATGACTGGAAATTCTCACATCCAATAGATACAATAGGAACATATGTATTAGTATGGCATATAATTCCTGGAGAATCTTTATTTCATCCTTTGTCTATCCTAGTGAAAGTACATTATAAACATCAATATCTCAGTGAAAATCATCTCATTTTCCAGCTCCTCTACTAGCTGCTGTCATAAAAGACTCGCCACAACCACATTGCCCCTTGGAGTTGGGATTAATAAATACGAACTCAGACCTGCAAATAATATGTTAAAATAAGTCATAAACTGTTGGGGACACCTTATGAAACGGACAGCTTTGGACAAGTCAAAACATCGTTAAAAGATCGGTAGCAGCCGTTCATAGGGCTGCCACAACTGAGCTATTGATGCCAGAAATGTTTTGATTCCCTTCTGGACCCCCGCCCCCTGAAATCTTCAGCGCCAGCATAGCTCACAGTTACATAGTTTAGCTAACCACAAAATGATCCTTAGAGAAAAACTAACCTGAACTAAAGAATCCAGAAAATGAGAAGATAAGTTAGAAGATACAAAAGAATGTCCACCTTATCCCACATTAAGCCTTCACACAAACGTTTTCTGGACTGACAACTTCATATTTCTCAAATTATAATTGCAAATATTCCCAGCATAATTTGCACATAAATAAACCAATAATCAGATCCTAAATGACATTAGAACATTTATTAAGGTTTGTTACATGTAATTAGTATAAACTAAAGCGAAAAACCACAAAACAATACACCCTAAGAAAAATTAGCGGCAACAGGTCGGAGTTGGATGAAGCAGCAAGTGACAAAATTGCAGAGGGGTCAAATTGTGCCATCCACTCATTGTGTGAGATAACTAACACTAAGTACCTTTCAGTGCATTTCATCCAAAATAGTAAAATGAACCACTTTTCCACAAAATTAACAGGATTCGTACCTAAAGTGTTTGAGAGTCAGCTTAATAAAAGCAACCAGCGATACAGATATTGACAAGTAAATCCTTTACCTCAATTTATCATCTACAAAATCCATCTTGGTACCAATCACGTGCATCAGTGCCTTAGGATCAATAAGTATTTTTACTCCCTTATCTTCAATCAGCTCATCAAACTTACCCTTCTCATCTAGAATGTTCAAAGGGTTGTGATTAGAAACGAAACCACAACAAAAATCCATATAACAATCAGTTTGAAGTTGTATAACAACATTAGAATCCACCAACGCCATAGGCTAATTAGTCTTGCTGATGGATTTTTTTGTGTGCATACAACATTGAATAGACTCAAAGGAGAGAGCACAATAAAAAACCAAATTGTAAAATAAGCAAATAAAGCTGACACTTCAAGAACACACCCCCCCCCCCCCCCCCCCCTAAAAAAAAAAAAAAGAAGGTAAGTGACAATTTGCAACAATGTTATCAATAAGAGCATAGAAGAACTAAGGTTTGTGATGGCACAAGGATAAACCAATTTAAAGCATGAACTTCAGTAAAGAAAGGTGCAAATAGGAATAAGATAAACATATAGGAACTGATATAAACACAAAGTCACAAACAACACTTATAAATATATAGGAACTGATACTGCTATTACATGAAACACATGAAATAAATTCATACAGATTAAGTTAAAAATCATTTCAAATTTATGATCTGATGCAAAATGCAGTTAAGCTACAATTCAAGATTAACAAATAATTTCTTATAAATGTCTTCTATATTCCTAAGTTCATAATGTTTTACAATTAATATACCACTTTGCCAGTTATTTTGATTTTTTGATGTTCTACTCTTTCAGACGCCACAAATTCAGCAGATTTATACCTACGTTAAGCTTGTCAATGAGATATAAGACATTTGTGCCTTGCTGCCTGCATGCACTTAACGCCACTTAAATGACGGAGACACCTGACCTGCGTTACACCTATACTTAAAGAGTTTACATGTGCCTCAAGCAAACCTTTAAATCCACTAGTTCGCAAACAAATGAAGAAGCATATTTTTCATGCAAGTATTAATTCCAGGACAAAATCCACATAATATTGGAGGCAGAATTCACTCCTCCCATGGACCCACGTTTTGGTTAGGTGGGTGTGGGGGGGGGGGGGGGTATTTGCATGATCTGCTTTAAAGTTTGTAAACGATAATAGTCGTAAACTGAGCAAAAATAAGTTTGAAAGCCACTCTAAAGTGCAAGGCAAAAATATGATATAATTGAACATGCTTTATGAAAGTCCAAAGACTTTTTAGCCAGTGAAAACAACTCTGAAATGAAATTAAGTCATTGACATTCTTGACATGGATGAAAATTATCTGCACTAAATGAAGTCATGAAAGTCCTCTTAAATGTTTTACAAGTCCATAACACATGATCCATTATGATTTTTTTAATCTCAAATAATCTGTTATAGTAACCGGCAAATATAGGTCCTGGGTAATCATTAATAACAGTAAAATCCTTAGACCACAAAATATTGCGGATCAACTAAGTAGGGAGAGGGTGCACACGCACCCGTAAACCTCGGGGAAAATTTATATATATATATATATATATATATATATATGTGTGTGTGTGTGTGTGTGTGTGTGTGTGTGTGTGTGTGTAATAATACCATATATGGATAATGTAAATAGCAACATGTCTGTTCAAAGCGGTGTAGCACCTGGAACCTCCATATCATGGATTCGCCTTTGATTGATAGCTCATAGTTATGATTATTAATCATCGGATAGACTTGCTATCTGCCAGAAACGGAACAAAGACAAATTGGTTACGATATAGGACCTATTTCAGAGCAGATTGGGGAGCATTCTTATCTCCAGAGCAGTGTTTTAAAAGGCGTGGGCGTAAAGCGAGGGGTTTTACATATGCCTCAGCGAGGCGTAAGCCCCGAGGCACGGGGCGTAAGCCCCATAGGTATTTAATTTTTAATATTTTATTAAATAATATAATTACAACAAATATATATAAACAGGTAAAATTACATAAAATTTGAAGAAAACTATATATATATATATAGATGTGCTCCATCCCAACAAAAAACAAGTCAAAATAATCTATTATGCGCTACTTACAAGCACAAGTAACTTGAGTCTAAAAGAATAAAGTTTTCTACATGGAGGAACAAAAAGGATGACTAACCTGCAACTTGAACTTTGAACTTGCTGCTATGAAGGAGAATGAAGTTCTCTTTGTATTTGTAAAAAAAAAAAATATCCGTTGCTTTTGGGAGATATTAGCAGACTAGCAAACAAGATAAAGAAATTGGAAAGACCATGAATTAGGGCTTCAATCAATAAAAAAAATTTAACTTTTAAATTTAATACATTTCAGTTCCTTTTTAAAACTTTTGAGTAATTACCAAGCAGAATTTGGGTATTATGTGAAGGACTTATTCAAAAAATTTTGTTTTAATTTGAAAAAATCTTTGGGGCTTACGCCTCACTAAAAAAACACGCCTCAAACGCCCGGGCATACGCCCCGAAACGCCCAGGCGTACGCCCCGAATTGCAAGGCGTTTTTGGTGCGCCTCGCCCCAGGGCTTGCCCCGGGGCACGCCCCGAAAATGCCTTTTAAAACACTGCTCCAGAGAAACCAAGGCCAAAACTCAGATTTATCATGTGCTCTTCTATATAAGTTGTTTTTTTATGTCGTTTGTTCTGTTCTCCTATATTGTATTTATTGTTCTTGAGTTTTTACAGCGAAATCAACTGTGCCATGGACGTTGGGAAATTTGAAAGTCCGGTCCTATAGGAAACAAGAAGTTAATGACTTATTAAGCATACGTTGTTTCTAATGTCGAAAAACACAAGGAAGCTATGCTAGTTGATCATAACAGTCTGGAAACCCCTTATCAAGCAGAGCAAGTACCGTTGAAGGAGCATAATTAGTATAAAAATAAAAAAGATAAAAGGTTGAGCATAAATTAGAAAGATTCAGTTACATGCTTTTCCTCAGCAAATTTCATTCTTTTATTTGATTGATAAATATTTTGCGAATCAAGAAAACTTGGTAAGCAGATTTATATCTCAAAAGGAAAATGTAATGCGCTATTTGAAACAAAAAAGGCAAATGCCAATGCTCTCCTATCTCACATAAAAGGAAAAACAAGAATACCTAATTCTCCTTTGGCACTTCGATTTCATGAAATTCTTGCTTCACAATTTGCTAGTGGGAAATAAAAAATTTACCAATAAACCAATATTTATAATATATTCCATTTGGAATCTTTTACAAAATCAAAAATGTTGTATTTCAAAATTCCTGTAGGGCCCTCATGAATTTCTTCTAGAGCGCGTGCTGTAATCTTGATGGATTTTGTCATTCCATCATGCATTAATTATGACCAGGACTGCTAATATTAACATGTAACCAATCTTGGACGCTCACAAAATACAATGATTGTAAGCGATAAAAACGAGGTCGGTGACTTCAATTGAACACATCAAACCAAGGAGTCCACAGGCTGCAACTGCACTCCTATCATCTTTCCAACCAACAAGAAAGGACCTCTCGACTGAACAAGGTGAGTTATCTGAGTTTTCCCTTCTCAGCATTCTAATGATCCAAATGAAATCTAGGGTATTTTAGAATGTAACTAAATTATTGATCTCCTTTTGCTAAGAATGCTTTGCTTTCTTTTTCTGATTAATGCCCATTTTACGATTTCTTTTTTACAATCTTTGTTGGATAAAACACAGGATCTCTCCTTTCGTTTATTCACTTTTTTACCATATTTCTCCAAATGTGACTTTAATTCTTAATGAATGATATCTCCTACATCTCAACATGTTTTCATGATAACCTTAGATCATGCTTTCCATCAATATATACATTCATGCCCCAGCCAAACGACAACCCTAGCGTAGGCTTTTCCAATATGAAAATCCACAACATAGATCCTATACAATTGGCAAGATCTCCTTCTTTAACTACCAAAGGCAACTCTTTATTATCGATTACAGGATATTGATAAAATTCCTTGCTCAATCTATGTTACACTCAATTGGTATGTGCATCATAGGGTTTTAATATTCTATATAATCTTTTTTGAGAATTTTTAATATTCTACATATTCACCACCAAAAGAGTGGTGGAATGCTAAAGCTTCCTACACACTTAACCGGATATCTCAAACTGAGTCCTGAAAATGGAGTCCCCTTTGGTATGGAACGTTAACAACCCCCCCCCCCCCCCCTCCCAACAAACAAATAAAGGGCTTCAAGCAAAAAATATTCAGCAGATTCTTGCTTCGAAGGCTTCAATCTCGTTGGTGGTGGGAATGGTTTCTCAACATTTTAGTGCATACACTTCTATGCTTCCCCGTGTTTTGTTCTTTTTTTCCTTTTCAGGTTGGCCAATGATAATTCCAGGATAGAAGGAATTTTGCTCCTAGTGTTCTGATTTGCTTTCTCTGATTTAAGTATTTAAATTATTTACTTCCCCAAGTGCCAGAGCTATTCAAGTAAGCCAGCTTATAAACCTCCCTTCCTATTGAGAAATAACTTAATGTTATATCTAGCCATTAATGAATGTGATATGCATATTTATAAAAAAATTGTATGTGATACTCATATTCTGTCTGCACCACTATCTTATATGCTGTCCTTGTTCCTTTTTTCTTACTGTAATTTTTTAAAATTATATTTACTGCACTGCCTTTTATTCTTTTCATTGGTTAAGCGTATTATCACCCATTGATTATCTTCAGATTACAATTACAAAAAAATTTACATCAGTTCATATTTTTCTACTAGTTTTACTTGGGTTGGAAAAAAAAAACAAAGGACTTAGAGCCACGAGGGGGCAAAAATGACCATCAAAAGAAAACCTTAAACTCTTACCTCAAGCATCAAGTTCTTAAGCAAAAGTAGTAGTTACACAAAAAAAAGGCAGCCTGGTGCACTAAGCTCCCGCTATGCACAGGTCCGGGGAAGGGCCGACCCAAAACACAATTGGTCTATTGTACGCAGTATTACCCTGCATTTCTGCAAGAGGCTGTTTCCGCGGTTCAAATCCGTGACCTCCTGGTCAACCAGGATAGCAACTTTACACAAATTCCCTCAAATTTTCCATATTTAAGTGTTTCATTTCTGTGAAAGCTACAGAACAGTTTTGTGGACTCCATCATGAAGTAAAAAATACTTCAAAATGTTACACATTCCTTTTTGTTCCTCTTTTTTTCTTTCGCGTTCGTTTTTTGCGCCTTAGTGCTTTTCTTTGGGAAGGAGCTAGGCAGAGGTATTACCTGATTAAATGCCATTCAAGTTCTTTAAAGTAGCTTACATCATACCACTTGAATAGCCCATTAATGCCAACTTCTTTATTCCTCTACACCTAACACGAAAACTCAATAATCCACTTGATGATCATCACAAATGCGAAGCTTGAACAAAGTCAAGGATGCCTGACACAAACAGACCCAAATGTAGCTTATGCATCAAAATTCAAATGCATTTAGCTCAAAAAGAACAAAGCTGTAGCAAGGGCATATTATGAGCCTAAATCTGCTCTGTCAGTACTATGTAAGCAGATCGAGGTTCTTCTATTTTCTTGATGGTTAGCAATGAGCTCCTTCTTAGCATTTATATTAGAAAGAGTAAAAATATCATCTTATAACCAGACAGTGACGCAACCAAAAGTTTTGCAATCTATTTCATTATTCCTGCAAGAAAATGCTTCATAATGAGTACACTTTTCCCTACTTCACTACAGATGGACCTACCGGGCCCAATAGTGTATACAGTTTGGTCTCCAGAACAGCTGTTCGAGTTACTTAAACTGTTGGCGGAGGTGATCAATAAAGATTATATATGGGGATCTACATTCAGAGAGGAAAGCTGGGAGTTCGTAAATGAGCAGATACGGAGAAAGCATCCACACTTTACGGTTGGTCGTATGAAGGCAAAACTAAGACATCTCAAGAGAAAATACAGGTTATTTTCAACTTTATTGGCCAGCAGAGGAGTCCAATGGGATAGAAGGACTAATACAGTATGTACCCCTGAAGAGGTGTGGGCAGAATATGTCATGGTAAGCCGTGTTTCTGCTTCATTACACTGATATAGAAGGATCAACCTAAAGAAGAAGAACCATATCGAGAACATCACTTATCACATAAGAAGTACAAAAATACTTTTTTTTTAATTACTTATCAAAAAGATATTATTCTACTTGACATTAAAGGAAGTAAATAACTACTGATCAACAACAACAACTACCCAGTAAAATCCCACCAAGTGGGGTCTGGGGAGGGTAATGTGTACGCAGACCTTACCCCTACCCCGATAGGGCAGAGAGGCTGTTTCCGATAGACCCTCGGCTCAGAAATAACTACTGATCATAGACAAAAATTTTAAAACTCAAGGGGGTGGGGGGGGGCACTAGCTTCATGCCTGCTATTAACTATTTTCGCTCTTTTGACAATTAAAAAAAAAAAAAAAAAACTTAGTCCCTGTCAACTGACCCACTTCATATGCCAAATTTTGTTGTAGGCATATCCACAGGGAAACCAATTCCGTAACAAAGGCATTCAGCCAAGACTTTTTGATGCCATGCGCGACGTCTTTGAAAGCGGAGTTGCAATAACGGATGAGTATTATTAAACAAGGTTCTTCTCAAGACGAAAGGTGTTAATATTATCATGCTATACCATCTGCCAGAGTTACATCCATGATCATAGTCTGTCCAGTCTAAACACTATTTACTGTAACTTCTCCTTATGTCTTGAATTACAACATCAGCTGGATCTTTACGCAAAGTACAGAGATTATTCCATTTTCATTAGATTAAATTCCTGCTACAACTGTTTAACTGATAAATAAATGACTAAATCACTGCATCCAAGGGTGTAGCCTATTAGTCAATAAAGTCCGTGAAAATCATGGAAGAGCAGAGTTCATCCAGCAGAGGCAAATACTAGTAGGTAATTTCTTCCAATCTGCCTCGGCCAGGGGCGGACTCACGTTGTATCAAGTGGGTTCAATTGAACCCGCTTCGGCGAACTTTTTTGTTAATTATGTGTGTAAATTATAGTGACAAACGGATATGTAGAATTGTAGATAAAATGAATCCGCTTGCACCAACAAGTAATGTCAGCCCGATGGTCAAGAGGGGTCATTTTATGGCAGAGGGAGTGAGTTCGAATCTCATATGCCATGTATTTTACTTTTCGGAAATCACGGGGATGCACACACTGCACATGTTTGCATAGTACAACGGTACCCTTCTCCCTGTATTACTGTGACTATAATTAATTTAGTTCAATCTACTAATATGCTAAAATTGTTAGGTTATTTTTCCTTTTGAATTTTATTATTTGCCAATTGTCATATAGAAGTTGTTTTAATTGTTATAATTATTTATTGTTTGTAAATAATACTTAGCTTTTAGAAGTTATATTTGTGTGAAATTGTGTATTTAGTGTCTAATACTTTACTTTAGCACTTTTATGTTACAAAGTTGCATTTTTTCTCTTCTTCTTTTCTGCAATTAGTTCTTTTAAAATTTATTTACTGTTTTATTAAATTGTGTGTTTATTTCTTTATTGTTCAAGTAAATTGTCTGTTAATTTTAATTCTTATTTTGTTTATATTTATGGTGTTCCAAAATTATTAGATTGCTATTGTATTAACTTATCTTTTGAGTAAAACATAAGAAAATTGAAGACTTTAAAGGAAAATTTATAGTCTTATAACGGGTTAAAAGTTGACACACACACACACACACACACACACACACATATATATATATATATATATATACACACACATGCATTCAGAAGTCACTTTATGTCAAACAGTAATTCCTATTTTTGACTAGTATCTCACCTAATGTTATTGTGTCTACTGAACCCGCTTGGATAAAATCCCGGGTCCGCCACTGGCCTTAACCTTGCTGGGTTGAGTTATCTAAAGAGCATTGGGCTGGTATCAGCTACCCCGTGGAATAGTCAAAGAGCACGGACACCACCATTCTTAAGTAAATGACTATCATAATGATTCAACATGTTCTTGTTTAATATACTTTCTTCTAAAACTTATAATATTTCTAATACGTTTTATTCTTCTAATATTTTTCATTTGTATTTCCATAATATTGGCATAAGATGAGTTTAATATTAGGGTAAGGTGGTGGTTGTTGTTGATGACTAGCAGTAGGATCACATTTACAAAACTAACATACTAAGCTCTAAAAAAATCAACACCTAAGTCCTGAATTCGTCTCTGGAAACCTACGCCAAATATTCAACATCTCTAACTTCAAACAAAATTAATACCAAATTTTGGCTTTCAAACAAAATTAAGACCAAATTTCGGCAAAATGAAAGTTAATGTATTGCAATACAAAAGATAAACATCTAATTTTGAACATAGAAATTTCACCATACAGTATAAAATAAGATAATTTTACCGGCGTAATTGAGGGTGTAGGATAAGCCGTTGCAGCCACGAGCTTTAACGCCGAGCTTAAGGAAAGGGCGCTGCCTTTGCTGAAGGAGATTGCTTATTCTAGCTGCGGCGGCGTCCGTAAGAGTTATGGCCTGCCGTCGCACTGCATTCCCGATTCTCTCCGCCGCCTTTGCCACCACCGGCGACGCCATCGATCCCGTTTTCCAGGTCGCAAAACGGAATAGATCCTGTTTTTCTTTGTTAGAAGTTGCTTTTGAATATTTAGGGGCTATAAATATATTTTTCTGATATTTCTGGGGTTTGTTATGAATTAAACAACACTATAACCGCCTCCAATATAAATTGCGTAATCGCTCTAATTTCCCGAAAGGGAAATTTTGGACTTTTCATCCTTCATAATTCGTACATTTTAATTGTGGTCCTTGTATTTCCTTTATTAAGCACATTGAGTTTCTTAAGCTTTTTGGAGTTGAAAAAGATAACTCAACAACAACAACGACCTAGTAAAATTTTACAAGTAGGATCTGGGGAGGGTAGTGTATCTTACCCCTATGCTAAGAAATAGAGAAATTATTTCCGAACTCATTTGGGGAAAATAATGGTGAAGCAACGTATAACAAAGTTATGGTTAAAATTGCAACTATAAGTATAAGTGTTGGGGATCTTTGTTTTGGCTTTTTATATTTTATGATATTTTTGGGGTTTATTATGAATTACATAATATTATAATCGTCTCTTGAAAAATAAAATGGGTAATCGGTAATCCTACAAATTTTTCAAAAGGAAAAATTGCAGTTTTAGTCCCTCATTATTCATAAATTCTACTTCTGGTCTTTGTATTTCCTCATTAAAGGTATTTAACCTTCATAATTGAATTGTATTTTGGTTCCTTTATGTATTTTTTTCAACTGTCACGACCCGGAATTCCCCTCATCGAGATCTGATGGCGCCTAACATTTCACTTGCTTGGCAAGCCAACGTTAGAACAATTTACGTCTTTTAGCAGCTTAAACGATAACATTAATAACGAACTAAAATAACAGATATGTTCTAAGTACAAATGCGGAAGCTAAATAGCCGACGTCTATTACAACTCCATTAACTTGGTGTCACAAGTGCACGAGCTTCTAAAGTAATACACATGAAGGTTTGAAATAAGTACAAAGTTGTCCGAATGAAGTTGTACAACTAAAAGAAAAAAGGAGGGGGACTCCAAGAGCTGCGTGCGCTAAACAATCGTACCTCAAGTCTCCGCAAATGTCCAATCCGAGCTCGCTAGTAACCGCCGCTGGGACCGTCTCCAAAATCTGCACAGTGTGCAGAGTGCAGTATCAGTACAATCGACCACATGTACTAGTAAGTGCCGAGCTCAGCCTAACCTCGACGAAGTAGTGACGAGGCTAAGGCGGGTCACCTACGCTAAAACCTGTACGCAATCTATAATAATGACAGAATAATTAAAATGCGGTACAAAATTAAACATCCAACAGGAAATGATAACCACAGCCTCGAAAATAAACTAGTGTCGTCCAAAATTACCAATCTCTACCAGCTCAAAGAAAAATACCGCAAAATAACGCAACTCAAGAAATAGAAATATATAGGTTGTTGCGACGCGCAACCCGGTCCCACCAGACATCACATAATCCTCCCTTATTCCACCATAACAATATCAATAACAGTAAATAATATATATGTTTGTTGTGGCGCGCAATCCGATCCTACCGTATATCAATATCAATATCATAATTCACCATATCAATCCGCTCTTATTACACATGTTGCGGCGTGCAACCTGATCCCACCGTATACACATATTCACCCTTATTTCACCATATCAATCCTCCTTTATTACACTCGTTGCGCGCGTGCAACCCGATCCTACCATATCAGTGCCAAACCGTCAATGTACACAGTCAAATCAACAGTCTAAATCACAAGGCATTTACGATAAATAAATACCAAACCGAACCAACAAAAGGAACCTTGTTCAATATAAAATCTACACAAATAAAACTACACAGCGAGACCAAACCAGCAATTTACAGTTAGAAGGTATAAACAAGTCAAACTCAGCAAATAGCAGGGATTAGGGAACTATGAAAAGAGCTAACATGATTAACAGAAGAAAATATTGATTAACACGTAGCAATTAAGCATGGAAAGCTATTAGAGCATGTAACAATTAAGATATGAGGGAAAACAATTAAGGAAAAGCGATATATCACGAAAAACAGATAATTCGGCGGCGTATAAGCACTCGTCACCTTGCATATACGCCTCTCGCATGGAATTCACATAACACAAAGTCCGAGGGTTCCTAATTCCTTCAAATCAAGGTCAGACACAATACTTACCTCGCTCCAAAGGACACTCAAAGCTCAATCACAACTTTGCCTTTCAAACACGCCTCTGGACCAACAATATCTAGCAAATTACCAACCAAACATTTCAAAATAAGCATTAGGAATCACCCACGATCGATAAGAATTCAATTTAGGCCATTGTTGAAAAAGTCAACAAATGTCAACACTCGGGTCCGCTTGGTCCAAACCAAAATTCGGATCAAAACCCGATTACCCATTCATCACCGAGCCCGGTTATGCAGATTTTGGAATCCGACCTCAATTTGAGGTCTAAATCCCCAATTTATCAAATCTCTAATTTCTATCAAAAAATCCCCAATTCCACCATGAAAACTTAGATTTTAGGTTGAAGATTTGTAAAATGTAATGAATGATTGAAAGAAAATGAGTTAGAATCACCTACCAATTGGGGAAGAAATGGTCTTTGGAAAATCGCCTCTTGTGTTTTAGGTTTTGAAAATTTGAAGAATGAATGAAAAATCCACTAAGTCCCTTTTCATCAGTTGTAGATGTCGCATATGCAACCTGAGCTTCGCAAATGCAAAGGGACCATCGCAAATGTGAGGTCCTTCACATCTCTGCTGCCTTCGCAATTGCGAACTTGAATCTCCGCAAATGCGAAAAAATGATCGCATTTGCGATCACTGCCCCTCCCAGCTTTACTTCGCAAATGCGAAGAATTCTTCGTAATTGTGAAGACTGAATGGCCCAGCTTCTCTTCGTATTTGTGATGAGAAGCTTCAAATGCCACCCTTAGAGGTCGCAATTGTGATGCCTGATCTCGCAATTGCGAGATCAGAGGCCTGCAACAACCTCAGTTACACCAGCAAAAATTTTCAAGTTCAAATCACTCCGTAGACTATCTGAACTCAGCCGAGCCCTCGGGGCTCCAAACCAAACATGCACACAAGCCTAAAAACATCAAACTTGCTCGTGCGATCAAATCTCCAAAATAACACTTAAAACCACGAATTTAGCACTAAATCAAATAAAATTCTCAAGAACACTTTGAAATTTCTATTTTCACAACCGGACGTCCGAATCACGTAAAATCAACTCCGTTTCTCACCAAATTTCACATACATGTCTTAAATATTATATTGAACCTGTACCGGGCTCCGAAACCAAAATACGAACCCGATACCAACAAGTTCAAACATCAATACTTTTCTTAAAAATTAATAATTTTTCAGATTTCAATTTTTAACAAAAATTCATAACTCAGGCTAGCGACCTCTAAATCCGATTCGGGGCACATGCCCAGGTTCCATATTTCGATACGGACCCACTGGGACTGTTAAAATACGAGTCTGGGTCCGTTTACCAAAAATATTGATCGAAGTCAACTCATATGAGGTTTTAAGCAAAATTCCTTATTTTTATCAACTTTCAACATAAAAGATCGCCGGAAACACGTCCGGAATGCGCACGCAAATCGAGAAGGGATAAAATAATATTTTTAAGGCACCGAAACACAGAATTTGATTTTAAATCATAAGATGACCTATCGGGTCATCACATCTAACCTATTTATGTATGAGGTATGTTATGTTTGGAACATTTATAAAGCATATTACCATCAGATATGGAGCACAATACAAGTTAAACATAATACATGGGCAATTAAGTGGTGGAAGGGTTATTTTTATGGTAAATGGGTGAATATTCACAAGAAAACAGATCAAAAGTTCATATTTCAATTGATTGAAAATTAAATGTGCATAATGAGATTTCACAAGGACTAAAATCAAAATTTATCAACAGCCGAGGGACCAAAAAGCGTCATTAACCATTTATCAAATATGGAGAGTACATTACCAGGTAAGGGTATATGACTTAAGAGAATGTGCAAATAAATTATTTATTTATTTAAGTTAGATAGATTGTTAGTGCAAAGATTTTGTACACATTAGTGTAACTTAACATATCATGAAAAATTAAATATCATATTTATTATATTACTAATTTATATTTAGTGTAAAAAATGATCTATAATTATTTTATAGGTGATCAATCTGATTATGTAAAGAAAATACAATTTTAATGAATAAAACTTAAATTCATAATTAAATATTATGGGATTTGTCAATAGTAGAGCTATGGGCAGGATCAAGATCATCAATCAAACACCCTTCATCGAAAAATCATATTGTGTATATATGTAAAAAGTTACTTATTATGTTGTATAATATATTTACCTTTACCACAGTTGAGGGTTAGGGCCGAGCAACTAAGGGTAGGGATGACAAACGATGCGGGACGAGTTTCACCTTCACTTGGTAATACTTTTACCTGGCCGGCCCTACACGGCTTTTTCTGTGATTCCAACCCCCACCGGCCCGCATGAACTCGCTCCTGTCTAAATCCGCACTACCCCACCCCGCATTTTTTTTTTTTTTTGGTTTACGTTGTTGTTTACCTATTCATTTTTTTTTTATTGGCTATTATCAGTGAATCACCAAAAAAAAAAAATTGTCTTTATCATTTGCAATAAACAGACTTTGGTTCAATTTTTCTTTTAGCTTTCAGAAAAAGAAAAAGAAAAAAGATTTCATCTCGTTTTTGTCATGTCTCATGGAACCAAAATATTTTAATTTAACCTATTATGAATAATACTTTTGAGGCATATAATATCAAATTAAAATTGTAAGAAAAACAAAACATACACAGAGATTTTCTAAATGCCTGTAGATAAAAAATATCAATTTTATCGTCAAATATATATAAACCGCAAAGAGAAAAATCACAATAAATCGTTTCACGAATTCATAGTTTCATATATAGATCACAAAATTAACATAGACTTATAAATCAATGTTAAAATTTGTAACCTAAATACCTTAAATGTCATAATCATAGATCTTCACACACGTATGAAATTATCATTCTACTATGAAATAAAATTAAAAACAAATCTTAAACAATAAAATTAATTCTTTGATAAACCATACATTTGAATAATTCAAATTATGCTGGTGGAGGC